TGCATGTATATCTATAACCTTGTTTTTTTAAGTTTTCCATTTTTTGCATCGTGGCTGTGTACAACTGTGCCATCGTTCGACCGCCATGGGCAGTTGACTCTTTAGTAAAACATTTTTCGCACCCATGGAAATAACAACCGTGGTACTCCAAAACCTCTAAATGCTCCTCGATAAAGCCATCAACCTTGTACTTTCCGATCCTTTTTTCACCATTCTGATGGTTTCTAGCATGTCTTATGTAACATTTTCGCTTAGCAGACAAATAATACAACCACTCCAAGCTTTCAAAAGAGTATGTTCTCTGCGTCTGCAGATCTTGGTAAGTAAAGTGCTGGATACTACTTTCTGGCATGAATCGTGCACGGTACACCAAATTAACAAAGCTAGGAAGTGACATTGACTCAACTAATGGATTAAAATCTGTCAACGCTTTCATATCCTTACAAAACCTCTGGCATGCTTCTTTTAAAACCTAAAAATTATGGTTTTTAAAATTGTTCAAATCGTAATGGAAAATTGTACCTGGCAATCATTTTCACAATATTTAAGTATTTCATCGTGAAAATTCCATATTGCTTTACTGTTAGACTCTTCGGCATACCATCCAATGAATTCTCTGTATTCATTAGCTTTCATTTGCGAAACCATATAGTACTTGATATCTGGCATTTTACCGCTGTAATTAATATTGTCTCGCGTTGCAAATAAAAACGGAAATCGCCCTTTAGCTCCACTAAAACCAAAAGCTCCAGGCATTTCGCCTAAACTCATTGGCAGGAACGCTAGTGAATCACGTAGCGTAATATTGAATTCTTTAACATAGATTTGCAAAAATTTTAATCCACGCATTACTACTTCTGGCCAAATTTCCTGCTCTTGAAGAAACTGCATAATAAAATTGCCATCGTACCCCATCAAGTTATGGAATATAACAATAAAATTCTTATGGGTGGCGTTAAATAACCAATGACAAAACTTCGCGCCTGCATTACGCCCAAAAAAAGTTTCCGCCTTTCCATTATCGGATACCGCTACTGCTGCAATTGGCACGTGAGTGGTATTACTAATATCAGCTTCAAAATCACAGTATAAAAATGAACGATCTGGCTTAGGGGAAAGCGAATATCTTTTAACAAAACAACGATGATCAGGCTCTACTGTTAACTTGCAGTTGCGGCAATAATATTCACCGCATTGATGAGATGGGTTGGTAGGACTTCGCTCTTTGCATCGTTTCAATATTATTCCACAGTCTTGACACTTAAATCTTAGCTGGCACTCAGTCAACCCTTGAAGCTTGATTGCAGTCTTGTGATAGTTATAACAAATTTCGTTTTTAAAAGAGCAGAAACATTCAGTGCAGTGAATTGTTTTTGTTGTGTCAGGTTGGCAGTCTAAGCGATGGCATACAAAACAAGCATATTCACAGCGGTGAGTTTTCAGTGAACATGTGATGAATTTTCTGCAACGGGGACATTCTCTACGTTTTCCAAAAAAGCGAGCAGGCTTTATGATGGGCCAGTAATGCCGCTTAAAAAGTAATATATATAATTTAGCAGGAACTGGATCAGCACCGACATTTCGGCCACAGTAGATCAGCCCATTCTCAAAATCAGTATCTTTGTAAATTAAAATCTGGAAAGCTGGTGACAAGGCGGTTTGAAACTTTTCGTACATTTGTACGTTCACTGCTCCTGGATGCACATCGGCCATTTTATATAATTTTAACGCTTCGTTTTTCTGGAAATCGCAGCGAGCGTCACATATTTTTTTCCATATATAGTTATTTGTCTGATGAAGTTTTCGAGCATGAGCTAAAACGATGGCCAATGCACGGGCGAAACATAAATCGTCAGTGTTACGCACGTAAATTACTCCTCGATAAGGTAGGATTCGTTGCAGGTTACGCAAGTGATGCACCTTTGAACCACCAGAAGGTGGTCTTGGTATACGAATTAAATTAATAAAAACAGGGGCATCCAGCGTAAACTCCGTTTTTGAAGTTAGGGTGTTAGCAATCAAGTATAGAAACATCTCAGCATTTACAGAATCTTGGGGAGCTAGTTTTAGCTGTATGGGGTGAGATAACTGGGTCGATTCTAAGGACATGCTTATCAAATCGTTTTGGTTAGGAATGTAAGTTCTTAGGTTGCGAAAAATGTCTTCTAGCAGGGAAAGCAATACCGGCAAAACGCTATCAACGCCCTTTATTGCCAACGGCTTTATCGAAATTTGAAAATTACCTGCCCAGACGTTATATTTTTTGCTGTGACGAGTTTTAATGGCTTTTAAAGCATACCATTCGGAGGGATGTAGTACTGCTTTTGCTGATAACGAAGTATCCTCCTTTTGACTAAGCTGTTTAATATACTTGAAAAATAGTTTATAGGAGAAAATCACGTGTCTTGTTTGGCGGTATAGGTTCGAGCATTCTTCAAGTGTATTACACTGAGAGTACAGATTCTCAAGCTTTTTTTCACCAAATTCGTCTTGCTTGATAGTCATGTTTTCATCGGTTGGTGCATGAATTGCCATTTGTACATTTAATGTAATTATGAATCGAAAAAACCTTCAAGGATTCTTTAAGAGCAAGGGCGAATATTTATATATTTATCGCGCGCCCTTGACATTTCCCACGATCTAAATGTGAGATTATAGCGCCTATCGTTTTATCTGGATAAAAGTAATGTGATAGATGAAATTAATGATTCGCGGAAGGCATCTTATAAGGAACACAACATACGAGCACATCCTTTCTTTACCAAATTTATTTGGAAAAAGTAAGGTTTGGAGAAAATATGGATCAGTCGATACAAATCGAGCACGATTGGGCCGTACTCTGCCCTAAATTTGAAGGTCAGTTAGACTCTTTTTTTGTATTCGAAGAGTTGCCCTATTGGCAAAGGTACTATTTAGCCGCCATGGGGTATATGAACAAAAACTGCGTGTCATGTTATAATTGTGGCAAAGAGTTTCACTGGCGCCAGTCCTCAGCAATAAACCATCATTTCGAAAGGCAATGCCAGGACATACAAGAATTCTCTCTTGAAAAACAGGAAACTCAAGTTTTTCGACGTAGAACAACGTTTCAACGCCTTAGTACATTTTGTGACCTACCAAAATTTTATGACATTGAGTTTTTGCTAGATCGTTCATTCTATGCAAGCAACGTTTTGCAATGCGCGCATCCAGGATGTACCTGGTCTGGAAAGTGGCAGAATATTTCAACAATCACAAATTTGAAAAAAAGAGGTCACGGAAGGCATCACTGTTACAAAGTTTTTAATACTTGAGTTCAAGTATCTAATCTTGCGTTCAAAATCACTGATTAATAAAAAGCAATGCCTGAACATATTCTTTATTAATCACCAAACTATATGCTTTGTGCGCATTAACAAAAGTTTACACAGATTCTGTGGTCAGTTTGTGTTTCAAACAGTTGATGCTTTCAAACGCCGTGAAAAATGTGTGCTTCACGAATACTTCATGTAGTGACGATGTGAATAAAATGCACTTGTGGTTACAGCCAATCTTCGTAAAGTTATGTAAATAAAAGTAAAAAAAGATTAGCTCGTGATCTACGGTCAATAATAATAATTCAATTATACGATATATAGTATTGTCATTCAGGCTGAGTTTAAGCAGCAGTTAAAACAGAACACCGTAGTTAAAATGATTGCGTCATATAATCAATATGCTACACAATTTGGAATTTCCAGACAAATGTAAAACGGTAGTAGTATTTATAAATTAAAGCAGCGGTTTCTTAATTCTTTTGGTTACAGTAGATACCTAGAACTCAGTATCTAAACTAAATTGGATCTCATTGTCTGTCATTCCAACATGAGCTTTCCGATATTCGGACACCCTTCTTTCAAAAAAATTCGTTTTTCCTTCCAGCGATATCGACTCCATAAAAGGAAAGGGGTTGGAGACATCATACATAGGTTCTAAATTAATCATAGCGCATAACAGATTGGCAACGAACTGAATATAGATTTGCATCGAGCTGGAATTAAGTCCAACAAGAGGAAATAAGAAGGCGTTCTTCCAGAACCGCTGTTCAACTTCTACCGCATTTGCTATGAGTTCACTGGATTGTTCGGGTGATAATTTATTTTTTAGCTGACTGTATAGCCAACATGCAAACTCAACATGTTGGGATTCATCTCTTGAAATTAATTCATTACTAAAGGTTAAGCCCGGTAAAATTCCTCGGCTTTTCACCCAAAATATCACAGCGAACGCCCCACAAAAAAAGATCATTTCTACACAAGCAAACGCCAGAATGCGTTCCGCAAAAGGCTTTTCCTTGTCAGTTATGTATCTTGCTGCCCATTGGCCCTTTTCCTTAACATTTTTGTTTAAAATTATAGCTTGGAGAAGCTCCCCTCGTTCCTTTGAATTTCGAAAAAATGTGTGAATTAACAATGAATATGTTTCGCTGTGAATATTTTCCATCAGAATTTGGAAAGAATAAAAAGCTCGAACTTCTGGCCATTGCACTTCAGTTAAAAAATTTTCGGCTAAATTTTCCAAAATTATTCCATCCGATGCAGCGAAAAAAGCTAAGACATTCCCTAGCAAAAATTTTTCTTTGACGTGTAAGTCATTCCATTGCAAGATATCCTTGCTTAAATCAATTTCCTCAGGTGTCCAAAAAAGCGCTACTGTTTTTTTGTACAACGCCCATGCCTCTTCATGCTCGATAGGAAAAAGTACCAGTCGTTTCCATGATTTCATTAAAATAGGCTCGCTGTCTTTTTCAGTTTCCTCAACTAATTCCTTCATTTTTGAATCGTCCTAATTTTTGGCCGACTGTCCAAGTCTTATATCAGCTGTCGGCTATGACACCACGTAGTGAAAATTTTTATTCTCACGCACAGATAAGATGACCTTGAACTTTGATCCACGAAACTTTCTCATGGCAAAAGTTTACATACGTGCCAGTTACTTTTTAAAAGTTCGTTAAAAACGCGATAACTGATGCTTATAAAAAGACCACCAAATCCGTGCAACGCGTGTTACTTAATAACTGTATTTACGACTTACATCAGAATGGCAGAACAGGCGCCAGATTCTTCCGCGCGCCCGGCAGTGGCTGGTGTTGTTAACAATGCAGTCGAAAATTCTCGAGTAACTGGCCCAGTTGCTCGAGAGCAGTATCCGTACCAAGTTGTTGGATTTATGAAACAACATCAGCAACTTCCAGCGTTACAACCGCAATTTCCGACGAATGTGCCAATTGAAGGTAATTTTAGTGTCTCCAGACATTTCCTTATAATTAGAAATAGTTCTTCTTGATTTGAGATAAAACTGGTGTATTTGAAGGTCAACAGGCACAGCCGGAAATATTACGTCTTGAGGAGTATTTTAAAAGCTTTGGGGATCAAGGAGCCTCTGGTCCACAACACCCTCCACAGCCATTAAATCCAGCAATTCTCTTCCAACATCCGGTGTCCTTAGCGAATTCCCCGCAATATCAGCAAGGAATGGACAGTCGGAATGCTAACTGCGGTCGGATGTATAGTGCCCAGAATATTCCCTGGTGTGGAGCTCCTATGGATGTTAATTTGCATTCGCCATCTTCTCCGTTGCCGAGTCGCATTCGGCTGGATGCAATTTACCTTGCTGAAGTGGAATTAGAGAAACTGTTGTGCGATCTTCGAAGTTTATCCGGCGAGAATCAGAATTCGAAAAGCGTGGCGTTTGAGATCCTAAAGAATGTTGCCGCGCATGAGTACTTAAAAGGGTTTACCATAGCTGAGAAATTGGTTGCCTTTCGAGACATTAGACAGCACCACCAATCTGGCGTTCCTAAGCGGGGTGGCCCTACGGAGTATTTTTCTGGGTAAATCAGATTGTTGTCAATCGATTAAAGTTTACTTGATGTAACATCTAGAATTGCGATAATTTTATCATTGATCATGAAACTGTTATCACCTTTGCGTGTCTTGCGTGGTAATCATGAATAAAAACGACATCCTACACTAACTTGAGCATTGGTTCTGTTTTTCTCTATTGGCATGCCATTATGACTAAATATGGTAGATTAATAGTGCTTGAGGGATTAAACGCTTCAGGAAAGTCTACGCAATGCTTACGTTTGCAAAGGTCGCTTACTGATTTGGGTCACAATGTCAAAGTTTACAATTTTCCGCATGTGCCTGACAGGGACAAACTAGGTTTGTTGCCCCTTATACAAGTGATTCTATCCTCTCCTGAGCTATTGCGTTCGACAACCGCACATCTTCTGTTTTGCTCTCAGCGCTCAGTATACGCAGAGCAAATTTCGAATGATCTAGCGGCTGATAAAATAGTAATAATTGATAGATACTGCTTGTCTGGAATGGTATATGGAATTTCACGAGGCTTAAATCCGCAGTGGATTGAAGAACTCGAAACAGGGCTGAATTGTCCGACTCCTGACCTGACCTTTTTTCTGGAAATTCCTCCTATGGCAGCTCTACGCAGAATGCTTATTCGGAAAGAAGAAAATCCGGAAGCTGTCAAGGATATTGTGATAGATGATTTAGGGAAAGTGCAGGCTGCATATGATAACATTTTGCGTCCTCTTAAAAATATCATTCGAATAAATGCGCAACTGCCCGAAGACATCATTGCGAAAACGATTTTAAATACTGTATTAAATAATTTTTAATATGTCTAGTTGTACACTTGCTGAACGTGCCAACAATAATCGATTTATGGTAAACGATGATACTGCCTGTGGTAGATCCCTATTATATTTTATCAAATTTCCTGGTTTTCGGACACTTCGTTGTCTCTGCTCGACTGTCGTATTTCATGCTGTGAACTGCTAATTATTAATCAATTTGGTAATAAATTATGCTTTTTTATTCGGTGAGCAGATACTTCAAACAATGGCCAGGTGTACTTTTACTTATCGCCAATCGCAGTTTAGTAATGATCGTAGGCTCTTCCACTTATAGCCAGTAATTTTACTTATAGGCAGTTGTAGCTTTACATATAGTCAACCATACTTAACATATGGTCAAATGTACATCATGTTTTACTTATGGTCAACCGTACTTTAATCTATGGTCTACCGTACTTCAACTTACGGTGAAACATACTTTACGTCTTATTAATGCTCAACCGTTACTTTCCGTTATGGTTAAGCGTCTATGGTAAACCGTACTTTTACGTACGGTCAACGGCACTTGCACTTATGGTCAAACGTGCCTCTACCTATGGTTAACTGTACTTTGACTTATGGTCAGCTGTACTTTCACTTATGGTCAAACGTGCCTTTACCTATGGTTAACCGTATTTTAACTTATGGTCAACTGTACTTTTACTTATGGTCAAGCGTGCTTTCACCTATGGTCAGCCGTACTTTGTGTTTTAATTATGGTCAGCCGTGCTTTCACTTATGGTCAAACGTGCCTTTACCTATGGTCAACCGTACTTTCACTTATGGTCAAACGTGCCTTTACCTATGGTCAACCGTACTTCATTATATAGTCAAACGTACTTTGTGTTTTAATTATGGTCAGCCGTGCTTTCACTTATGGTCAAACGTGCCTTTACCTATGGTCAACCGTACTTTCACCTATGGTCAACCGTACTTCATTGTATAGTCAAACGTACTTGTGTTTTAATTACGGTCAACTGTACTTTTACTTATGGTCAAGCGTACTTTCACCTATGGTCAGCCGTACTTCATTATATAGTCAAACGTACTTTGTCTTTTAATTATGGACAGCCGTACTTTCACTTATGGTCAAACGTGCCTTTACCTATGGTCAACCGCACTGTCACTTATGGTCAAACGTGCCTTTACCTTTGGTTAACTGTACTTTTGCCTATATTTTTAAGTCGTGATTTTGCTTGAGGTCAAGCGTTCTTTGAAAATGCTCAGCGTTTATGTCTTGGGGTTTTTTAAATTCACTACAACAAACGACAAATTTTCGCACGTCAGTGAGGTTTGAGTGGAAAAAATCGAAAAAAAACAACTAAAAAATTTATAGCTTTATAAATACATAAGAAAATAGGCATGCAGGAGCAGGAACACGTAAACATTTCTGATTATAAAATAGACTAAAAAATAGGCAAAAGTTTTTTATTTTTATCCACGTGAAAAATCCGTGGCTGTTCCGAAAAAACCAGTAATTCTATTGGTTCAGTAAGCGGCTTGCTGAATCTCAATTCTAGTCTTGCAAACTGTTTTCTTTCAATCGGAATATCTTCAGTGTTATGATTAGGAGTTAAATCAAAAGGAAAAATACTTGTCCCATATTTCAGATCTTGATAAGAAGTGTCAGAGGAGCAGCCAAAGTCCCTATTTCCTAACTGACAAGACAATGCTGAGAATAGCATGGCGTATTGTTCGTTTGCAAAATCGACTTTATAAGAATATATTTGATTATCGACCACTAAAGTAATTTCTTCTAAATTAAAACGCTGAAAATTAAGCGGGTTTTTTCTGTAATTTCCTACGTACGCTTCGTGCGTAACCATAGCAAATATAATACGATTCGGTATTCTTTCAGATCCAAAAAAGTTGTCTATTGTGTACTGTCTCGATCCCGGCGTTAAAGCTCGTGTACGAACATCCGTGGCGGAATATATTTTGTAAATAGCCGGTTGCGTGGTTAGTCTTTTTTGAATCTGCTCGTGGATTTTTGCCGTTATTTTAACGTAGCGCGTTAATAAACGCATATCCAAAATATTCAGGTAATAATTCGGTGACTCGTCACTTGATAAAAGGAAAAAACTGGGATTTCGTTTGAATAACTTAATTTTAACAGAAATTTCCGGTAATAAATAATTTTCGATAAAGAAAAATTCATGCATTATTCTACCCAACATTTCAAATGGTTTTCCTTCTTTAGTTAATTCATAGCGTTCTGCAAGACCTTTATTTTTTTCGGGTAGAAGGAGGTCAGTGTGGTCCATACTGTTTTCAGGATCACTTTCATTAATCCGATCTTTTCTCCACAGAACATTGCGCAACAGATTTTTTTTCACGCCACGCGAGTAGTTCAACAGGGTATGAAAAAATCCCTTATATCCGTAATTATTGTAGCTCACAACAACTGGTATGCCATTTATTTCTATTTCGCAGCGTTCGAAGCACATATAAAACAACAAATTCACCGGCGCCGCATCGCGGATCCCCTTTGTACTAATCTGTTTTGATAATCGGTCCCTCTCAGCAGGGTCTAAGCTGGCTAAAGCAGCTGCGATCTGAGGATCCGCTAAAGGATCAATTGTGTAATCTACGTTTGCAGGTTGGTTGCTGTTGTTTGGTGGATTACGTGTGTTGGGCAGTATTCCACCTCCTGAATTACTTGCCGCAGAACCATTACTTCCTGGTTGAACGGCATCGCTTGTATTTTGACTTGCGATCTCTGTACCTGAAAGTGTTCTTTTGATGGAAGTCGTTTTAGCTTTTATCAAGCCTAGTGGCTTGGATTTATCGTTTTCTAAAATTTGGCATCGCATATACAGCAAGACGTCAGCCAGGTCTAAGTAGTTCTCAGTAGGCGGAAGGAGAAATTCTATTACATCAGAATTGTTAACTATCTGATTTATCGGTAATACTTCCGTTTTATAACTTTCTTCTATTATGGATTGTGATATTGGTGGGTCAAAAAGCTGCAACTCATCAGGGAATTTTTCCACAGTTGATTGATTTTTCGTAGACATTTTTTCGATTAAATAACTGAAGCAAGTGATCTGCCCCGAATGATCTTCTTAAACAATCCAGTACGAATTGAACGTTTGCGCTTTCTACTCTTCCGTCTAGATTTACGTCCAACAAACACAGTTTGTACCGTGGTACGCTTTATTATTCGCCTCTTTGCAGCCTTTTTCTTCTTTCGGTAAGCCGTTTTCAAAGGATAAAATCAGAACTGCACTTTTATGTTTTTATCCGTTCACTGCGCCATGCCTTATATACTAAACCGCTACTTTAATAGAACCGCAAAGCGAAAGCTCGATATAATTTAATGTGATTGCAGTGCCTGATAAGAATTATGAATGATTTTTACACAGGTTAAAAATCTTGCAAACTCAGTAGGCGTAAAATCCGTCTTTAAATCCATCGCTTGATTTGCATTTGCGATAATGCAAGGTCACAGTGGTTTCTCCCAAAACGTCTTCGCCCCAAAGCATTTTCCAGTCAGACTGAATGATAAACAACGGGTTGGCTGAAAAAAACCAGTTCTGAACTGGGAAGTACGCAAGATGGTACGGCTCATATCCTTTCAGAAGTTGATCTACAGTGGCCATGCCAATAATTTTATCGGATAAATTACCATAAGAAGACATTAAGTGACTCATTGAAAAGATAACCTGCCCTCTCCCCCTTGTGTTATCTACCACATTTTTATTCCGAAGGGTGGTCGTATCTCGATGCATGCGGAAATTTTGGTCTGGAACAAAAGAATTAGCAACTGCCTGAACGGGTGTGGGATCACCCTCTTCTCTTGGTAATCCCAGAGCTATCGTTAAAAGATTTCCTCTATTGACCAGCTGTATTCCTTCATCTCCACTCTCAAAAACGAACCTCCCTGCCTTTAATCCAAGTTTTGGCTTAGAAAACTGAGGGTAAGCCGTCATAATACGCGTTATTTCTCGTTGTACGCCATCAACCAAGATCGCTGGTGTAGACTGGAAATCAGATTGCGTCATAAATCCATGAAGAAATTGTCCGTGAACAAACAATGTAAGTTGGCGTTGCTCTAATGGAATAAGTGTTAACTGAGCAGACGAGAATATTCGCACTAGCGCAACTTCCCACTGTTGTTCTTGCTCTCGGAACGTCAGCGGTGGATAGTTTTGTTTGCTTGAGAACATAGTAGCCGTGTTACGTATCGAGAGTGCTTCATTGGTAGGATTTGCTCCGCTGTGAAGATGAACGTAGAAACCGCTCTCCATTGCTTTTACCTATTTTAAGAAAAACTTTGCACAAAGCAACACGCATAACAAATTAGAATGCTGACCTGACTAAAGTTAAGTCTTGTTTATAAAATTGCGCCACACGACTTCCATCACGCACCAGTACCTGTCGGCTATCAGCTGTGGCAATGTGGTACGTAATGACCGGTCCATAAATTATATTAGAAATTTGAAATAATTCGTCCGAAAAATTCCTTGTGTAACCTTTAGAAAAGGAATTTTTTTTCAAACTTATTCGAACGCGATCACCAATTTTAAATGCCGGTTTCTGAAGCTTTATAAACTTTTTCTCCTGTCCTTGCTTAAATAAAGATGCTTGATTCATGTGGGTTATTTCTTTCGGTTTCTTTTTGTGCCCGGTATGTACACGATTGTTATAGTTTTCAATAATATTTTGCAGGGCGTTTTCCCAGTTGGGATTTTTTGTAAATGTTAAATGCCTGAATATAATCATTTTTAAAGTACGGTTAAACCGTTCAGCTAAGGCGGCTTTATGGCGAGAACTTGATATCTGGTGATAAATGCCATATTTCGCGTACATCTCCCGCGATTTTTCATTGACAAACTCTTTCCCGGCATCAGTCACTAAAACACTGGGGTGACGTTTTTCAAAAAGCTGACCCATTGCTTCCGCAACCGCAATGGCTGATTTATTTTTTAAAGGTTGCGAAAATGCAAAGCGACTGACACAATCGATCATAGTCAAAATATAGCGAAAACGAAGATTAAATCGCTTAAGCTTTTGCATTTCTACAAGGTCAGCATGCCAGACGTTGTCCACTCCTACGCAGAAATTTTTTAATTTTTTAAACTTTATTCGTAAAGGGCGGTGCAGCGTATATACATCTTGCTGTGCCAGAAAATCTTTTACGTCTTTTCTCGAAAAACTCAAATTTAAATTTTTTGATCTATCCTTCGCTATGCGGTACAACGCCGATTCATTGGCTAGATAAGCTGGGGAGGAAATGTCCGTAAATAAACTGCGTAAGAGAGTCGCTTTGCGCCGATTTACAGACGCTGACGGGATTTTAGTTGCTGCGCTTGTCTTCACCATTTCTAGTGCACTCACCTCAAAATCAATTCCTTCACAAAAATGGTTATTCCAGTAAGTCAGTTTTATACCATTAATGCATACAGGCTATAATTTCTCTGCGCCCGAGAATGTTGTTCGATAAAACCAAGTAAGCTGTCTGATAACTTCTAACGTTCGGTCTTATATAAACTATGAAATCAAGATATCACTGTAGTCATGCTGTGTAGCCGAAATGATTAAATCTTTTCTCATCGGCTGCCGTGCAGAAGAAAATGTTTATAAGCATACTGGAAATCAGAGTGGAGCATCGTTTCCTCATTTTCTGACAGTAATGGTTCGACGCTACTTTTCTAACATTGCAAATGCTGTCGGAAAAATTTTAGCTTTTGAGGTTACCTATAAAACTATACCTCGAAACAAAAACGAACCACCGATCTGCAAGCAACGTGCCGGTATTAGTGTGGAAGATATCTTTGCGGTAGGTGTTGGTAGAAGTCCACACACTGCAAAACAGGACGCTGCAAAAAAATTGCTTGCCGTTATTTTAAGAAATTACCATTCTAGATTGCTCGAGTGTTTAGAAAAATCGTCATTTGATCACCCTTTAATTTACCCCAATTTTTTGGAAAATTTGGCAAACATACTGGGGTTTGATGTTGAATTCAAAAAACTTCTTTCGGCAGAACCCGCTATTTTTAATTATCAGGCCAGTGTTCCTAACGAAGAAATATTAGTCACCTCAACCGGGTCAACAGTTAACAACGCTAAAGCCGACTCTGCACGACAGTTACTAATTATTATATTGCATAATTATCATAAACAATTACTGGAAATTTTGGATTTGCCGCCTTTTATCAGTAGCTGAAATGGCGCCAATTCGCTTGGGGAGTGGAACGCCGCGAAACACATCACCGGAGCCGACCGAATCGATATTGTTTTGCGGTGAGGAGCCGCTACCTGGCACAAGTCTTCACAATTTAACACTGACCTTGGTAAGAATACCGGTCTCAAACAGTTTTTGCTCGTTAAACTATATATCATTTTTGTTCTTTTATACAGCCTTTACCGGTTCCGCTGTTAAATTACCACTACTTCAATACTGCAAAGACGCGTCTGACAAATTTTTATCATTTTCGGAACATTATGGAGCAGCAACTGGTTCCACTTCACGTTTACATTGGCTACGCTTTACGAACGTTTGCAATTTGCATGGCAGGAAGTGCTGCAGATATCGATACGGTTACCGGAAATTCATCGGTAGACGTTTACGATAAATATACATGTTTGGAAATTTATGGTCATTTTCATTTTCGGCAAATTCACCAGGTTTTAAAAAATTATTTCAAATTTTATGTCCAGTGTCAACACTGTAACCGTTGCGCGACTATTATCGTACGTAAAAGACGCCGTTTATGTGTGTGCTGTTTTGCTTGTCACTCAAAAGTCTACGTTACCAAGCATGAAGGCTGTGCTTAACGTTTAAGATGAGCCTGATAAAACAATAAACATCGGACTTGAAAAAATTTTGGACTGCAGTTACCATGGGATTGCCGGTATATAATTATTATATTCTAACTTACAAATTAAACCACGTATGTCATGCTACTGTTCATTCTACCTTACCGAACTACCACAGTTTTCACTAACACCACGTACGCCAGCGAGGTAACCATGTAGCTCCTATGGTCAGCATCAGTGGTCAAATGGTCAATGTAATATATATATATATATAGGTATATTAAGAATACTTGAGTGCTGGTGGCCGGTATTCATATTTATCGTACCGCATATGGTCGTCTGTATTTTGCCATATTGTCAGTGTGATACACAAATGCAGATATTTTAAGAATCGGGCGCTCATTGGAGGTAATTGAACGGACATTTTATCTTACGGTCAGTAATATTTCATCATATGGTCAGTATGGTTAAATTTATGTTCGGTAATATTTCTTTGAGGTTCGGTACAATGGGAAAAACATTACTCAGCAATATTTTCAGACCAATCTTCTTAAATTTTTTTACCTCTGATTTATTAATAATTACATATTTTCATTTTTGCACTTGTAGATACAACGGTATTGCACGTAAAGGGCACTTTATTTAATTATTTTTATGGAATTTATTTCAGGAACGGAATTTATTTTTATAAAAAGCCAACTAAACTAAAAGAAGCTAAAAAACGCAAGAATACAATCAGAATTATAGGAGAAACTCGTACCACCATTAACAGAAGAATTACAATATGGTCAAAATAAAATGTGGTCATATGGTCAAAAAACAAATGCGTAAGCAAATCAATTGATAAGAGAACGCAAAAACAGCAGTTGCAATTTTAGAATAATCCATTTAAACAGCAAGAAATTTATTTTTCAAGATGATTCACATCGCCGGCTTGGCGAATTTACACTGTTACGCCGATAGCAACCAAAGCAAAATGTTAATTCTCTTCATGTCTGAATCTCTCACAACTACGCCACAACCGAATGCCACTGGCAGCAGCGCCTTCGTTTTCCCGGGCCAAAGTGTCATAAATGACGCTGGCGGAATATGCAGCCATCCCGCGATGGAATTCCGGTGTGTTGGCGCTCTGGGACCACACGTTGGAGAGTCGCATCGTGCGCGGGTCCAGGTTGTGAGCGAACGACTCCATCACCGATCCGCGCTGTTGCCGTTCTGACGAAATTCAGGAAGTTAGTTATTTAAATTATTTTTTTACTGGTAAACGATAGCAAAGCAGATTACATATGATTGTACCTTCATCTTCCAAATCAACAGCGCTAAGAAACAGTTCATCGTCGCCGATGTTGCCGTTGCTAACGGACTCACTTCCGCTGGCGGCACCGTTCTCTGCTGAGGGTGAGACCAATGTATGTGAACTTATGATTGATAATTTTTTATCCATATGGGTACGAATTAAGACAGATAAACTTAGTTTTCGTCTGGTTAGCGCAGTTCTTATCTATTCTTACACTATTTTAATTTCTGTGATTTTTATCAAAAACACATTTCATACCTTCGGGTTGCTCGCCGGGGCCGACATAATTTTCATTGTTGAGATTGTGAGGAGCGTCTTCTTCAACGGGGGCAGAAGGTTCGGCCGTCCGATGGAAAAAACTGCGGATTTTCTCGCGCTTGCGGAAAAGCAGGAAAGCTCCAATTAAAACGCATCCAATAATAGCAACTGTGACGCCGACCACACCACCTACACCAAATTCCAAAGGTGGCGGAGTTGGTTGCCCTGTAAAACACGATGGGCATGGAGGGCAGACGTGTACTACAACGCATTGTTTTTCATATTAACAGCAAAGTATAGAAGAAGCGGCAGTGGCACTGCTCACCCGTCTCGTTGTTAGTGTTGCGTCCCACAGTGGAGTTATCATCATGCACATGAATGAAAGTTGCATTTTTATTATTCACCACATCAGACGAAGAAGAAAAATTAAAAAGCGAATTCTCCGCAAAATCAACTGATATATACGCCGTGTCGTTGATTATAAAATCAGCAAAATCCATTACTAATTGCGACGAATTTTCCTGACTCCATGAAACAAGGCCAGATAAATTCGACGATTCAAAAAACGACGTGTAATCCAAATCAACGGAGGTTGATTCCAGCGACTTATTGCTGTCTCCATCGAAAGCAATAGATACAGTAAAATTAATCGCCGCGTTTTCTGACGCTTTCTCAGGATATACAGCGCTATATTCTGACGAAGTTGACACAGCAATAGCTTCCCCGGTTTCATTAAAATGAGACGGTCGCGGATAATTCGGAATCAATTGACTGCTCGTATTTTTTATGAAATTAATAACCGAGGAATTCGCACTAACATTTTTTGACACACTCTCGATTCTAAACGAGAATTTTTCCTCGCGTTCCATTATGTAAACTTTTTCTGTCTTTTCAATCTGACTTTTATCATTAACGATTTCTGACTGCGTGTCTTTAATCAGGTGCTCTGACACGTTTAAACTAGACGTCACCACGGGGTGATTATCCGCATATTCAATGGAAACAGACGGCTCTGTATATAACGAGGATAATGCTGAAATTGCGGTGGGATAGTAAGTGGTCACGAAAGATAACTCAGCGGTAACCAGATCTGGGTCCAGAGGTTGTGGATCAGTAATTGCAGATGAATCATAAAAGTCTACACGTTCAGGGGACGTTGTCACGCTCATAGCTTTCACCGGCAGACTTTCACTGACCGTACTTTGAACTGTACTGGAATAATCGTCCTTACCATCAGTAGTATCATGTGTCGAGACATCGACAGCCGCCTGCGTGGAAGACCAATGAAGTGGAACCGTATGTGTTTCGGAGGGTGTGGTCGCGCTAATCCATGGTGGGAAAATGGGTGGCAGATCCATCCAGTGACAGCATGGTGCGTGCGAGCAGCCTTTACGTAAGTCTGTAAGTCAAAAACTAATCTTTCAAGATTAATCCTCTTTAAATACTGTTTGTAAAAACAAAAGCAGAATATCATACCTAATATCTTAGAGAATAATTCCGTTATTCGCCCTTGCACATAAACCTGAATTTTTATTCATTATTAATTTTAACGTTTTGTTTTTTATTGGCATTAACCTGGTTGACTAACGCCTACCTGCGGTTAATCCGCACTCTTGCCTATAGTTAGTCGTAGTTTACTTATGGTCGTCCGATCATCTACATTTTCTTCGACTCTTAATTGTGTCCTTCTAGATTAGCGAATAAAAATGAAATTCAGTCAGAAAAAAACCTACTTTGGAAAAAGTATTTTTAACGAGAAATAGTGCGGCAGAGGTAATAGTTTAAAACATTGTCGGTCGTAGTTTTACGTATGGTCAACCGTAATTTCACCTATGGCCTCACATACTTTTAGTTTTACATAGAGGCAGCCATACTTTCAGCTATGGTCTAACGTACTTGTTCCTATGGTCACCTCGTGATACGTACCAGCGTCGATACTAAAAATAAAATTCAGTAATAAATAAAATCAACTTTGGGAACAGCATTTTCAGCGCGCCAATGTGCGGCAGCAGTAACAGTTTTAAATATTACCGATTGTAGTTTTACATATGGTCAACCGTAATTTCACCTATAGTCTAACATACTTTTAGTTTTACATAGAATCAGCCATACTTTCACCTATAGTCTAACGTACTTGTTCCTATGGTCACCTCGTGATACATACCAGCGCCGATACAAAAAATGAAATTCAGTAATAAATAAAATCAACCTCGGGAACAGCAGTTTCAGCGCGCCAATGTGCGGCAGCAGTAACAGTTTTAAATATTACCGATTGTAGTTTTACATATGGTCAACGGTAATTTTACCTATAGCCCACAATACTTTTAGCTTTACATAAAATCAGCCATACTTTTACCTATGGTCTAACGTACTCGTACCTATTGTCAGCTCGTGATACGTACCAGCGCCGATACAAAAAATTAATTTCAGTTATAAATAAATCTACTTTTAGATCATCATTTTGAACGAGCAAATATGCGGCGGCAGTAACAAATTTCAATTTTTTCGGTCGTAGTTTTTCGTATGGTCAACCGTAATTTTACCTATAGTCTAGCAGACTTCTTGTTTTTCATAGAATCAAACCATTCTTTTATCTATGGTCTACCGTACGTTTATCTATGGTAACTACATGTTACGTACCAGCGCCGCAGCGAGAGATGGCCCTAACACCGAGTTGCTCAATACACTCCAGTTCTCGGCAACGGTGTCCGTCAAAGGTCGTGCCGGAAAGAACAATGACTTGCAAATCCGGAAAATTTAAAGTCGGACGCCAGTTGGGCAGCACATAAATGCCGGAATTGCTCATGTCCAGAATGCGAACACCGGAAACTATATCTTTCGGCTGGTTGTCCAAAGGCCATGTCGTCACGCGATGGTCATTACATTTCCATAGGGCTGCAGTACAAATGCAGAATCGCGGGCATTGTACAGAATTTGCAGCTGACAAAGCAGCTGCTAAAACGATCACACAAAGTCCCAGCCACATGTTGGCGTACGCAAAAAACAATAATTAAACAACCAAAATTTCAATAAGAAACCGAAATGCACCAGAAGAAATTATCCTGAAGCAGTTAGCAATTGTAAGCTTGGGGAAATACTTCGATCGATCAGTGCCACAACTGATTTGAATTTCTTTCAGTGACAATCAAAGATAAAAATTGTAGCCAGTGCTTGTAATTCACGAGTCATGTCTATTGAAGGATCGGTGTTTTCTCTGTTTCCTCTTATTTTTGTAACTATGGTACGCTTCTACTGATAAGGATGCGTGGGAACAGCAAAATAATCGCCATTCCTAACTCCTCATTTGCTAGTTTTTTTCTGCATCGCTTAACAGCTTGTCAACAGCTGGCGCCTATGATGAAGTTGGCGCGTCTACCGATTTATACCGTTCGGGTTCAATGCAAAGCACCAGGACGATACAACCCCGCAGAAATTTGTCGTTAACCGCTACTCTGCTTGTATCGGTTTTATCTCTACCGCAAAATAAAGTGTAAGTCGTGTTGATATAGGTATTTAAAAAATGGTTTTATCTTACTTTTTAAGTATTTTATTTATTTTTAAGTAAGTTTTGAATATCCGTAATTTGTGCACGTAATATTAATTTACTTCTTTCAAATAAAAATTTAATTACTCGGTGTTGCAATACTATCTACGGTTTGTACCGTACGTAAGGTGATTTGTACCGTGTTTAGTGTTCCGATTATCGTAATGCGGTGATTTAATAATTAAAAATATACCTGTGTTTCCAGGTTCCACTTTGTCGTTATAATTATTTTTATGAATTACGGTTTTCGTAATTGATAGTTTTTGACCCAGGTTGGATGCGCGTAATCTTGAATTATGGATGTGATAATATTCTAAATTATTGTTATCGATGCAAAGGTACGTACGCACGTATCATTCCTCTCACATGTTGAAGCAATGTTTCCCCCTGCGCTTGCTTGTGTAAAGAAAATATTATCTGCTCTTATGCTCTAATAATATTTTGTGATAGCCCCCGTACGTACTGTACTGTAGTGCACAAAGAGCGAATACACGCCGATGCAACAGGTGCAACAATGTACGAGTACGTATGTACGTAATAGAGTGTGCTTAATTTACTGTACGCTTGATGTTTGCATACTGCACATTAATGAATACTACACGAGATTTACTAGTGGGGTGATAATTTACGGTATCTAATAGATAATGCTCAACCTTACTGTAGAACATAGACGGCGGTATTATTGTAAGGCGCTGATCACAGGCACCGGCGATGAAATGTGCGACAGTTTAATGCAGAAATTGGGCCGTCTACCGGCGGAAGCAGCATGTATTTTTAGAACGGCATTCTTGATAACGTAACAACCACCAATCTGCCCGTAGTTCCATATGCCTGATTGATTCACGCTTCTGCGGGCGCGCATGACAGGGACCTTATTAAATGCAGGAGATCACGTTCTCAATAAAAACAGTTGATATCATAAAGGCATACCATCCCGGGAATTGTGGCACGTTTATCACACGGCGAGATTGTCATTTTATTTGCAGAATAAATCTCATCATTATCTTCATTAGTGTACTATGTAACCAATACTATTTCTGCTGTTTAATGCATAAATCCGCCATAAGAAGGAAATAGGTCTGTTTGAAGAGGTGCACGGAAACCGCTATTTATCGAAAAATATAAATGTAGCTGTATCATATTTCTACTTAACGCTGAAATAGCCAGCGTAATACCGCGTCATTGTCTCTGGCACAAACTTATCGTCCGGCGTTTATCGTCTTGGTGGTGAAAATGGAGATGGCTCTCACTATAGCTCACTATACCGCTTAATTATGGCTCTCACTATACCTTGATTGGTTTATAAACCAGCCACTACTCTTGTAAGCTATATCATCTGATTTAGTTCTGGCTCCCGGGCGCAGACTCGAAATTACTAATCACCTGAAAAAAATTGCAGGCGCTCTAATTGTTCTGGCACTTTCTCTGGTAGTGGCGGTGGGCGGTAAGTAATGTACATACCGCACATAAGCTGAGATGCGGCTGCGGGACTGTGCGCGCGCCCATTGTACTTGTAATATTGATAACATAACATTTAAACCACCAAGTTTTTTATTCCGAAATTGTACAGTAATAACGTTGTTGCTGAAGTGCAGGCCAAGCTGATGTGTCTGTTTCCGGCTACCAGTATGTGGCGACCAGTCTGTGGTGTGGACGGGACCACCTACAGCACCGACCGCCAGGCCGGATGCCAAGGTCAGTTCACTTTACGGGATTGGTCTGGTACAATGTACAAGGTACAATCTTTCGGACTCTCATAAACCCAGCATATTTTCCACTTTTGTAGCGCATATCTGCTGAACCTTCTACGCCTTGATTAGGAGTAAGCGTAGCGCACGAGGTCACTGCAGCAACGTACAGCCCAGGATCGCTTTCTATACTCTACAGTACTCTCCTGGGTCGCGTGCCCACAGCTGTGGTCAACAGTGGCGAACAGAAGTCGGCTAGCGTTCCGGTGGAGCTGAATCTGGCCAATCTAAAGTAGGAGCTGGCGCGGCAGAATCTGAGCGATGAAGACGACTACGACGATTAGAAATACTTCGGTAAGTCACTTGTAAGTTGTACTTACGAGAAACATACGAGTACATGTCGGCGGCTGCATCTACTGCCGCGTTGATGCAGGTAGTAATTCGCCGATAATACCGGGAAGATCGAGCTTAAGTGTCTGAGGAGTTTGTTTATTAATTTTTGTTGATCATGAATGGGTGATTGTGCGCCGAACACGGCTGTCGCGATAGAACGCTGCCTATCGGGGAATTTTGACGGGGTCTAGTGTTGAGCTGGCTGTTTACTTATGTGCAAATCAAATGCCGCTTGTGTTCCGATGTCCCAGCTCACTGCAACATATGCAAATTTGCATAATTGTCGGCGAATACCGGGCAGCTGAACTATCGATATCCTAGTATACATAATTTGTAAAACAGTTTAGCAGTTGCTTATACACTACTTTTCAGTCTAACAACAGTCTTTCAACCCTACACTAGACAATGGTGAACCGAGCAAGTGTGGCATGTACGACGTGGACTACAGCAATGCCACCCAGCTGTATACTTTTCAGCCAAAGCACACGCGTACGATAGCGTGCCAGCATGGATGATACATCGAGGTACATCGGTGTATGATACATCGGTGTACAAGAAGACCGCGGCGACGGAATGGAATTTGGTCTGTGCGGGGGATTTCTCCTCTAGTCATCGAGTTAATGTGGTTCTTGGCGTAGCAGCGGCACACCACGGCCCGTTCTGAGCACCAGTGATCTGCACTATGGAATGGGCATCCGTACGTGGCAACGATGGGAACACCTATGGCAATCGATGCGCTGCCAATGCCGCCGGTATGCCATTTGCGGGAACTAGTCATATCTAATTAAATAGCAATTATGCCGAGTATGATCAACAGTGTGCGAATACGTAACAGATTATGTCAAATAACTGTTCGGCTGCAGGTGTTGAAGTGGTTCACTCCGTAGATTGCTGAAGTAATACCGCGCGGATTGCAATTAACATATAAATCATCTTTATTTCCTTAACTAAAGAGTCGAAATCATCTTCTTCATCTATTTTGACTGCACTGCTCCATTCAGTGCCAACAAAATTTGTAAAATACCGGCAGTTTTTTGGTTGCGGGATTTTTGTTGGCACACTCGAAATATTAATTAAAAAATAATATTGAATTTTTTGGTTAATCTTCAGCATATCTGGGGATGCAGCGCCGTGCCGTTGACCTTTACCGGCGTCATCGATACTGTCACGCCCTCGGCGGCTTTCCGCTAGCCGGAGCTCTCAGTGACACACTGCTCATCGTTTTCCTGCTCTTCCATGTCCTTCTCTTTGTCGGACGCGATCTTGACTGGATCGTGGTTTTATCCCATGTAGGGACGAAATTCGATTGCTAAACAGTTTTTCATATTTTCGTGTGTTGCTGTTTTTCACAACAGCAGCTGTCCACTGTTAACGGCTCTGTGCCATTTATATGAGTCCTGTAAACTGTACGCTGTAAAGATAAATTAATTTAAATATGTGCAAATTACAGTTATCTTTGTCCCGCGGAGGGGATACTGTATTGGGTCACAGTATGATCGATAGATAGCATTTCCTAAATGATGAAGCTGGTCTTTTTATTCAGACAATGCCGACTAACGTAACTACATGCATGTGTTGATAGAGCGTAATGAAAAAGACTGAAGAAGCTTGACCTATTTACCGAAGAAGTTTTGTATCGCTCTCTCCTCTAATGCATACCAAAGTATTCCAGGTACTGATCCGGCAAGCTGCAGCGTCAGGGCAATTGTATCCTTAATGAGGTTTCTCTCTGAAAATTATGCTGCGAGAAGATAACAATACTCTACTGTCATCACTACCCACAGCAGTAACAGATAACCGGTAAAACCCGGATTCTAGCGCCATGGCAACTTGAACTACTCCTGGGTATTTAGATAAACACTTTACAAGCAATAACGTCAGTATTCGCACTGTGAAATTAATTTATTTTACAAACGTTGGCAATGTCTTCTAATAAAGCGAACCCTCGCCGGCGGTACATCACAGTCAGTGAGATGCCCACCATTGGGAATATAATCTACGAGTGTTTAGAACACCATGTTGAAAATCGCGGTTATAAAGTGCTGAATATCCCACCTCAGTGCCGAACACGTCTTGATCCGATCCCAGCAGTTCGAGAACTGTATGCAAAGAAATCCATTTTACTTGAACGGGCGCCCGGCTGCTACTTTTCTCACGTGCAGAAAGAAAAGGTCCTTACTTACCAGCAGTATCGAGCTAGCAGTCGCGGAGAAAGCTCACTTGACGCCAGCTTTGGGGAGCTCGCCAATCGCCGGAAATGGTATGTGGCCGATATTCACATACCGGAATTGGACGGCCTCCAGACAATGGAATTCTTCAATTTCAATACGTTTTCGGATATTTTTCGCCAATCTGGAGCGAACATCCCGGGATTCAACACCTCCACCGGCTTTATCGGCGCACCTTACACTTATTTTGGTTATCACGTCGAGGTGGCTAATTGCGCCTTCATGAATATGCATCATGGAGGTAAGCCAAAGCGGTGGAACATTAGCCCTCCCAGATGTAAATGGGCCTTCGATAACTTCCTGTACAAGACTTTTCCTGAAGAGTTTGAAGCGTGTGGAGGAGCTGTGGGCCACCTCAACTTTGTGGTAGAGCCCGACACTCTCCGTGACGAAGATATCTTGGTCGATGAGTTTGATCAAGAAGAAGGGGATTTGATAATCAGTGCCTACGGTGCGTACCACGCTGGGATTAATTCAGGGTTTTGTATAAATACGGCGACAGCCATCACAACTCCCGCCTGGATCCCAGCATTTGCTGAATCCGTCAACTGCCACTGTGACCCGCAGGCTGATATCGCCCCTGAACTGGAAAAGATTCGTACGTACCTCACGAACCGGAATAATTTCGATGTGGATGTCAATTATGCTTACCTGCAGCGAGTAAGTTACACTTTGAACTTCAGTCAATTTTATAATTTCTAGTACGTAAATAACATAAGTACTACTACTTTTCTTATTTTAACGAAATAACTTTTTTTAGAGAGGAGAGTGGCATTTAGAGCAGTTTTTACCGGCGTCCCGTCGGCGTCAAGACGCCTCCTTAATGGTGGGAGCGGTGACACAGCCAACCGCCCCAGTCGACATCATGGACCAGTGGATCCACCAGAACATCGTTTACGACCCGGCGTATAAAAAATGTAAGTAAAATGTATGTATGTATTAAATGGAATATTAATAAAAATGTATGTGCCAAATACAAACATGTTACGTACACGAAAATACACTTTTGTATAACTTGATTAAGGGATCCGCCCATGTCAAGCTGCGCGCCGGTTCCGCCAGTACATGCAGAGCAATGGTATGCCGTACAATATGGAAGAAGTTGCTCTGGCAACAAGCCTTGGGAAGCGAATGCCCCTTGTTCATGATGGATTTACGGCTGGCGCTCGTAAGGGAGAGCATCGAGAGTCTCTCTGGACTTGGCCGCACTGTTATTTCATCGATGCGGATTGACCGACAGCTTGCGGTATCTTTTCCATTAAGGTTTTGCGTATTTCTTTACATCGCTAATGTTTGCAAAAGGATAAATTTCGTCGTATTTCTTTAGATTTTCGAGGTGGTTTGCAATACCTTTTTTCGTTTGAGTAGTTTACAAACACCTTTCGTGCTTATTGTTATACCACTTATACCATCCGTTTGCTCGGTTTGGAGTTTTCTCCTTATATTTGTGGTGTGCGAAGGTTTTTAAATCAAACCGATAGGTGGAGTGCAACTATGGTACTTATGGTCATTTACAATAGTATGTATGGTTATCTGCATTGTTCTGAATTTGTTGCAACTGTTACGTATGGTCATTTACATGAAACCGTTCGAACTGACTGTTTGGTCTTTACTTATGGTCATCTATAACACTACTTATGGTCATCCCTTAAAAATGTAGAAGGAGACAGAGAAAGAGAATACTAATGACTAGAAAAAGAGGGCAGACGCAAAAAGCGAGGCCGATCGTACATTCATACGGACTGAGAGTCCTCATTTTTTCATGCACGGTGTACTGCATCCTGTATTACGCTACGTATGAGTATTACCTAGTCGACGTATGGTCACTTTTGTCATGCACTATTCGTATATTTTTGACCACCCGCCCGCGTAAGTCTTTAGGTGGGGGGGCGCCGTTCGCCAAAACAGCGCTCTCTTCATCATGTGGGCGTCAAAGCCCAGGAGCCCTCTCCTACACATGCTTCGGAACTCCCTCGGAGACATCCGTGTGCGCACTTCAATTGCGCCGTCATGCTCAACAGCATACACCATAACACCAGCCCGGTTAGCTGGGCGAATAGCTGCAACGCAGCTCAATCGGTACTTCCGTTGGGATTCCAAGAGATATCGGGTGTATGCCGCGTCACCACGGTATCCATCCACAGCTGCATCCCGGCTGTGGCGCACTACTCGCCTCTCTTCCGTTAGAGCGTGCTCCAGACCACTGCATCATCTTCCATGACTGGTCTGTATCCGACGATGATCCAGGCCAAGGCCAGTATACCAAAGTAAGTCCGGCTCCCCACCGGCACCAGTGGCCGTCCCTCCAGCAACGCCACTGTCCAGGGTTGGTTCTCCTCCACTCCCTGTTGCACCCCGCGTCCAATGCCATTCCCAGCTGCAGACTGGGAGGCCAGTGCACGGCCTCCATCGTCCAAGGTCAACAGACTGCGCCTGCTGCGCGCCTGCTCCGGTCGTATTCCGTGGCTGCTGTGTGACCTTGTTCTTCGGGCAATCCCGTTGAATGAATCCGTTCCGTTGCAATTATAGCAACGCTTAACCGGCCTGTCAGTGGGCTTAGGTCCCCGTTACCGGCAGCTGTACCGGCATTGGTGACCTTTCGCATAAACGGCTTCCCCATTACCGCCATTGCCCCCGTACTGACCTTTTCCATAATTGTTGCTCCACGGCCGGTTGCCGCCCTTCCTCTCCACTGTCGTCCACTCCGTCGCTCGATTCTTCGACTCTAGCGCAGGGAATCCGACACCTTCTGCATGTCCGAGAGGAACTCCATTGGCGTGGCAGCCAGGCCATTGCCAGTCTGCTGAGATACTCCGGCAATAATCCTGCCTTCAACTTCGATGACATCGTCGTCATCCATGTCTGCATTAATCTTGTCACACAAGGTCATGACATCATTAAAATAATCTTCAATGCCTCGTCGCGCTTCATCTTACGTAAACGCAGCTTGACCTTAAGCTGATTACGATAGTCTTCAGTTTGGAAACGGCTGATAATAGCCTTCAGTAACTCATCGGAAGTGGCGTAA